CGGTCTAAAAAATCTTCAATCAACTCACCATTTGAATTCTTTTACAAACTACCCCATAGAGGGTTATGAGCATTGAAATCTCCAACCCAGACAGCAGACGCAGCACTAGGTAAAATTTCCTCAAAATCAGTCAACAATAATGGCTTACCTGGATTATAACAATTAATCAAATTGAACTCACCCTCCTTTCCCCACACTTCAATAATGACACACTCAAGTTCCCCTCCCCATGCTCGTGACTTATACCTAATTCCAGACCTGATGAATGTTGCACAACCACCACCTCTTCCATTTAGTCTGTCGTTACGGATACTCTTGTAGCCTGGGATAACAAAATCTAGGTTAGGTCTCAACCATGTCTCGTGGACACAGATAAAATCAGGCCTAGGAAAAAAAACTCTTACAAACTTTTTGAAACCTTGACCATTTGCAATGAGACTCCTTGCATTCCATTGCAAAACACAAACCATAAACCAAAGGATGTGTGTCACTCACTAATATCCTCGTACACAGGACAGACCAGTCCAACTTCCTCCTCCATATCAGATTCCCTCCCTCCCTGAACCTCCTGCACCCTAATGAATTCAGTGAGCACCTGGGGGGTCAGATCTTTAATCCCAAAAAATCTTTTCGTAGCTGAAGCCACAGATACGTCTCGGAGTGTTTTCACACACAAAACACAAAACCTCTACCATGAAAGCCAGAAGAGACTCCATCTGTACAACAAGCCTATCAGGGTTAGCAACTTCTGCACTCTTAAACACCTCTGGGCCCATCCTTTTAGCATTAAACACTGAAAGTCCTGCTCTTTCCACTTGCTTCAGCGCCTCTGCATATGTAGTCTTCTGCTGCTCTTTGACCACCTGCACCTGCCTCGCCCTAGCAAAATGAGAGCACTCCCGAGAGGATGCCCCCCCACACACACACAGTTACAACACTTAGGGGAAGCAACCCCACACCCCGAAACGTCATCATCTCCCCCACATTTTAGGCAATGCCAGCCACCTCCGCACGCAGCTGCCATGTGGCCGGATCTTTGGCACTTAAAACATCTCATTGGGGGTCTTACATATGCCCTCACTTGATAGGACAAACATCCAATGAACACCCTTACAGGGAGGTCACCTTTAAATGAAAGCATGAGTGGGGTATTAGGGTTGCCTCCCTCCTGTCCTCTAAACCGCCTCACATCCACTACTTCACCCCCAGTGATATTCTCTTTTATTTCTCTTTCAGAAATTTCTGCACTCAGACCATATATAACACCCTTTGCCACGTCTTGCTCTGGCACTGCTAATTCTACATTTTTCCCACAAATTTTGGATATTTTTTTGGCTTTCTCAACCTGCTCCTCAGTGCAACAGAACACCAAAAGAGCCCCACTTGGGACCGCATGTGCCTTCACCCCTTCATCAAGTGCTCTCAGTGACTCTGCTATCTTCAAGGATTCAGAGCTCTGAAGCCATCTCCCCGCTGGTCCTTAAGTTTATACACAACTTTATGTTTGATTGTGGATTTGCTATCTTAACCCCCCTACTCACGTTCCTCTCTAAAGATGTTTCAGAGTAACCCCGTTTTCTGCCCACCGTAACGAACCTCTCTCCCGCTCCTCCTGGCTCAGAGGCCATAGCAACCAGGAACTAACCTGGCCGCCACTGACGCCTACCAGCACTCACACACACTCTCACACCCCTGAGTAAGATGCCGGCAAGATCACAAGATCTTACAACTCCCACAACTTAATGCACACCTCCAGACCAAATTCACCGAAAGATTTATCAACCGACCGAGTCGTCATGCAGCAAACAACCACTATCGACAGATTAGTCGCATAGACGGGAAGCTCAGCAAGCGAGCCCTCCGCACGTCAGCAACTCTCCGCCCATCAAAAACCAGACACGTACCGAGGGCTGCACGCGTGCTGATGTAAGAGTGTTTCCATAAACAGCCACGTGACCGCGAAGCGCCGCCTGCAGCGCCACTGTTTCCCCGCAGGAGGGCAGCTCAGGACACACAGGGTTTAATAATAATATAAACGTATTGAATAAGATAACTGTCAAAAAGGTGTGTGCATGATTCTAACATTCGTATTCGTATTTATATGTCAATAAAAGTCTTGTACCCAAAACTCTGGTTTCACATACGTGAGTCTGAAAAATTGTGTGGATTAGAATAGTTTTTATGTGAGTATGAAACTAAAAGCGGTGAGTGAAAATTCTTGTGAGTACAACTCCAATTTCTACTACTACGAAGTCTTCTCCTCTCTGTGGACACGAATTCAAGTTTGTGGGTACGAGTAAAAAAGTGTTGAAGTGACGTCACAAGGGGGAGTATTTGATCTGGCGACTATACCAAATGTTACATGTTCCAAATTCAAAGATGGCTGACAACGGTGTTCCGGGTGGAGCTACCATCTCCACTGAGGCATCACAGGTATGGTATAAATGACTTGTGTATCCAGTATCTATTTATATATTACAGAAAAAAATACTATTTTAGATAATATACGGTTATTGCAGTCTTACTCTTACTCTTATAGAGTCTTACTGCTATAGTTTGCAAGCTAACGACGGCAGACTTTTAAACACACGCCAGTGGATATTTATTTATCATATGTGTTACGATATGTCTATCTATGTAGTCTTGTCTGTTTGTCTGTCATAAACAAGACATTGCAGGTTGCGGAGCACGTTTGTGTCGAGGTAACATAACGTGAGCTGGCCACCGGTGACTGGAAGGCAGAGCCTGACTCCATTACTCCGTGTAAAGTTACAATTCATTTATTTAACCATCACTATTACTCTGAAAGTGGTTAATTACGGTGTATATATATAAACTCATAAGGCAAATGTCTTGCATATTTACATATTGAATCTCATCTCTTCTGACATCCTCTGATCGATCAACGGGGTTGTTGCTAGGGACGCCAGTGTCCCCAGCAACGGTGTGTTGCACTACTGTATATATAAAATACAAATATGAATGTTAGAATCATGCATACACCTTTTTGACAGTTATCTTATTCAATATAAATGGCGCTTATAAAGTATGGAATCACAGGAGTGTCAAGATTTAAAAAAAAAAAAAAAAAAGATCTGTTAAAAAATAAGGAAATAACATTAAAGGTTTAAAAAGATAAAAACAAATCAAACATGTAAAATAAGAAATAAAGAAAATACATATTTCAGGAACATGTTTAATTAAAAGATTTGCTAAAAGGAAAGGGCTTTAAGCCTTTTCTAAAGACGTCCATTGTCTGTGGAGCTCTCAGGTGGTCAGGGAGGGAGTTCCAGATGCAAGGGCGGCTGAGTGGAAAGCTCTGTCCTCCCATGGTCTGGAGCTTGGTTGTGGGCAGGCGGAGGAGGTAGCAATAATTTTTCCTTTGCCATTGCTTTTTCCATTTTGCCTTTGTTTTTACTTGATGAACTGAGCTGTCAACCAAATGGCTTTGGGTGGGGTTTTCTGTCCAGGGGTGAGTTGTCAATATCTGAAAATAATTCTAAAATATAAATCTTAGAATGCTTCAGTGTCACTCCACCATTTATCACATCACATTACCTCAATGCATAATTCTTTTGCACATCTTAAGTTGTTGTTGCAATTTTGTATCACATAATATGTAAAATTGCACATTTTCAGGTGACTATTGTGCACATTTTTGCACACTGTACATATTTCTATTACTTTTTATTGCTTAAAAAGCCCTTGAATTTATTACACTTGCTGTTTAGTTGACTTTCAGTGCTTACTTTTTGTTTGTCTTGTAACACTTGTTTTTTTTTTGTTTTTTGTTTTTTTAAATTGCAACTTCCTTTTTAAATCTTTCCTTCATTAAATATTCTCTACTTGTTGCCAATCAAATTCCCTGTATTTCAAAAACCTACTTGCCAATAAAGCTGACACCAATTGTTTGTCTTGTTGCACTTGTGGTTTATATGACGTGCAGCACTTCCTCTTTTTTGACTTTTCAACGTTCACCCCATGCAATTTAAACCTCCAGAAAATATAATAATTGAAATTGTTACCCAAGTTTATGTGTAAATAACCCTTTAAATAAAAACTGAAAAAATTATGTAAGTGACTTATTTAGAGATGTTAAACATTGAATGGGGTCAAATTGACTGCAAAGATAATAGGAAGGTTAAATGTTATGCACCAAAGTACCAAGTCAAATTATGTTACTATTTCTATGTGAAAACAGATAAAATGTATTTCTAGCATGGAGAATTATGTGAGAACACAGGTGTAGATAATAGTAGATTGTGATTTTAGATCCAATTTGATTCCTTAAACTTTTATTTTTCCAGTAAAAAGTTAAAATGAAAGTCTGCCTAATCAGTGATATGCATTGACAGTGACTTATTAGTCTTATTATTATTCTTTCACATGTCAAGACATGCACACTCTGTACTGGAACCATTTAAATATTTACAATCTGAGCATTTCTTTTTGCTCCTGTCACATTTTTACACACAGAACAAGCATATAATTTTTTATTTTTTTTAAACTGAATCTGGCCAGGGCTGTAAGGTGGCGCAGTTGGTAGCACTGTTGCCTCGCAGCAAGAAGATTGCTGGATCGTGTCCTGGTGTTGACACCTGGGATCTTTCTGCGGGGAGTTTGCATGTTCTCCCTGTGGAGCGTGGCAACATTTGCACCATTGTAATAGTGTTTTTTTTTTGTAATGGTACACTTATGTGATGAATTTCCTGAGATTTTCTGGGACTTGGAAAGAAATTTACTCTGACTAAAGGAAGAAAAAGCAGAAAAACACTTTAGTTTGTGTACAAACAAATAAAAGAGGAGACAAAGGTGTTTTCAGAAATATTTATTAGATTTTTTTTTTCTCTTGAAGCCAGCTTCTTCAACCGTCATAGAAAAATTATTTGCACAGAGTTTGCATCTTCTTTCACCAATTAAAATATTCATGTACAAATGGTAAAATCTGTATATATAACGTAATAAATCTTGCACAGCCAAAAGTCAGATATCAACTGCAATATGATGAGGTTAATCTGTTAATCGAGTTGTTTTATGTTGTAAAATCTTTGTCCTCTTGGGGACTTCTGCTGACTGTCTATTCAAACAAAATAAAACCTTTATTTAAATCCATTAGCTGAACTGTTACCGGAGTTGTTTTTGTGAACAGTAAGGCTCCAATGAGAAAAATCACCTCACACATTGCACCAAAACCCGCTCATGCACCACAACGCTCGCTGAGAGGCTGAAAGGCTTCAGACATAATATCATTAACTGATGTTTATATCATCTGTATGGGCAAATCCAGCAGGCACATGAAACCAGATGATATAAACATCACAGTCTTCTTTCTGTGCTGAGGCAATGCCGATTTAAATTTAGAAAGACGAGAATACAGAAGAAACTATCTTAAAATGTATTAACTAAAAAATTAAATCTTATCTGTTTCATTATATTGCATAGACAAGTGATCTTTCATCGCCCTGCAGTGCAAACATGAGGGTTGTTTAACACATGCACCAGACTTATACATTCACAGTTGTCCCTCGTTTTCCCTGAAAATAAACTAAGTGATATTTTCCTCCCAGTGAACACAGTTATGTCCCTTTAATGAACTGCATGAACCAAACCTGAAGTGTACATTTCATTCATCCTGATGCTAGATAAAACAAGACACCACGAGGATTACAAACAAAACTCAAATTAATTAAAACACAATAAAAATCACAATATCGTTCAATAAAATGTTGGTGACCTCATCACATGGGCAATTTTGGCGAAGGTGACTGGCTTCTACCGAGGGCAAGACTCATCTGGAAGACAGAGAGACGGAGGGTTGAATTTTTATCTGATTTTATTTAGCAGTTTGGGATCTTTCCATTCACCAGCAGCGACATTTATGGCTTTTTGAGGGTCATAAATGCAACCTCAACTTTCCATTTGCTCTCCAGTAATTATCAGCGTTAAATAATTTACAATTTCCCCAAGTTCTGTGTCATCGTTTCTTATTTTACTGAGCCTGCCCACACTGTAAAACCTGCTAGTATTTGTGAAAATCCACCAGTTCATGACTTAAAGGACAAGAGGGGTGTTGTTCCGTATTTCTCTTAATGTCAACAAATCACATAAAAAGAACAAAACCGGTGTAGTTTGTTTAACTGAATGAGATCGAAATTTCAGCTGTAGCAAGGCGCCATTTTTGTGCAGATTAGCAAACAGTCTAAAATGCGTCCTAGCTTGTTAGCTGATGCAATACCATCATTAAACTACATTTAAATTCCTGTGTTCCTGAGTGTAAACTTCCTTAAAAAAATAGAGAAATAACATAAAGACAGCTATGAGACAGACACAAATATAATTTAAATTTGGAATAAACCTTCTGTACTGTTAGCGTGCAAGCTAACAGACAAATTGAGAGCTAGTCCACTAACTTTGAACATTTTTTCTGCTTCAGTTGCTCATGTTGAAATAATGCATGTAAGATTCTGGCACAAAATGCCAGTGGTAAGTAAAGAGCATATGACAAAGAGTTTAGAGAGCTATTGTGACTGACTAATGATTTCGCTTGTCTCTCAACTCTTTCTACATGTCTTTAGCATTTAGCCAAAAGCCACTTTTTTTTCTCCTGAAGATATATTTATTAAACAAACAACTCACAAAGATGTTGATTAGCTTTTTTTTTTTTTTTTTTTCAAATGCTCAGTAATTTCTTAAGAGCTGAGGACTGTAATTTTTTCAGCAAACTTTTAAGCAAACAGTTGTGGTTAACCTTTGGTAATGTTGCTGCAAATCAGCAGCAAGATCATATTTTCATACCTTTTTAGCAAACCTGCAGTGTATTTTTGGCTAGATTTGTGGAAAACTTTGGCAAACAGTAAAATCTACTAGGTACATAACAATCATAATAACATTTACATCTATGTGCAAGTTAGAATCTCCATTTCACCTATTGCACATGTCTTTGGACTGTAGGAGGAAACTGAAACATTCAGAAGTTCACATCAAGTTTGCTGCAGACTTAACCAAATCGTCTGCCAGAAACAAATATGCCAGAAATGCCATCAGTGGCAAACAAACTACCATGTTTGCCACTGATGGCAAACTTGTTGAGGCACCAGTGGCACACCATGGTGGCAAACAGATGGTAAACATGTTTCTCATTAGCAGCAAACTTCTGTTTATTGCCAGAACATTGCTGGAAATTTACCACTCATGTCCAACAGTGGCAAACTTATGCCAAGTTTTTTCTGGAATCTAAATTTATCTGCTGCAAATAAACACCAGCTTTTGGTTCTGTAAGGTAGGAGTAAATTATGCATTTGTTGGGAACTACTTTTCGCTGCGGATTAGCACACATTTGGTGCTCTGCTAATTATTTAAAGAGCAAGATGGTGTCTGCAAGACAAACTAAGAAAACCTTCAGTGCCCACCTTCTTCATAACAAACAAACACATCACCCAGTGCAACAGTGCATAGCTTTTGGTATAAGAATGAAATTGAATGACACAGTGTCGTATGATATCAGACTCTGGCTACACCAGTATTTGTTAAAATCATTACATTATTGGTTTTGCTTTTTCTGTGGGATTTGTTGACTACACAGAATAACGCCAGTGTCATACTGAGGAAGGTTCAGGCACTCAGCCCTCTAAATTTAACTTCTCATCCTGAGTAAAATCCAAACCTGCACAGAGTTTCTCAGTGGAAGACAGATGAAAACATTTTCACTACACTTTATGCTTTTTGAGAAGGGGGTGACACTGACCCACTCTGAGACGTGGCCCCGTTGTGATCCCGGTGCTCCTCGTGCTCTTCAACACCACTGGTCCTGCCTCCACCTCACCTTCCTCCTCCTGAGCCTCCTCCCCTTGCAGCCTCTCCATCCTCCCCAGGGGAGCCCCACCGTGGGGGAAGGGGCTGAAGGTCAGCAGGAAGGTCTCCGATGGGTATTCGCACACCTGCTCCAGCTGGTCCTCATCGAAACACACCTTCCCCTGCAAACATGGAGACAGAAAGGTATGTAAAAGACCATTTTTTGGACATTTTCCAGTCTTTTATGAACTTCTGAGAGGGACAGGAAGAGCGACGGGGAATGACATGTAGCAAATCAGCGCAATGCGTTGGTATCTGGTAGGTTGCCCACTTAAATCTGAATAATCAAGTCTTTTTATTTGCTTTTATACTTGTATGAGTTGTAGTTGTTGTTCCTTTGAGTGAACCACATTGAAAACACCTTTACATTCAAGATAAGATGCTGATTGTCATTCAGTATTTGATATAAATTGTGTTTATAATCCATTCTCTAATGAGCAGGGGCATCTTTGAATATATCTACTGTCATTTATTGACTGAAGCATAAAAATCTTTAAGAGAATTATAGTAGGCAAATGAGAGTAGGGCAAAAAAGTTGGAAGTTTCAAATCTGATATCAAGGTTCCTTACTGATTCTATGTGCATAAAATATTTTAAGTTTTAAGTGTTGTGTTGAGCAGTTTGGGATCTTCCCATTCACCAGCAGTGACATTTATGGCTTTGTGGGGGCCACAAATGCAACCACATTTTTCCATCTGCTGTCCAGTAATTATCAGCTTTAACTAACTTACAATTTCCCCAAATTCTGGGTGACTTTTAGTCATCATTTCTTCATTTTACTGAGCCTGCCGACAATGCAAAACCTGCTACAATTTGTGAGAATTGGCCAGTTTTTGATTTAATGAACAAGAGCTTTCGTCGCTCATATTTCTCCTAGTGTCAACAAATCGCAAAAAAAAGAACAAAACCTTTGAAAAATGGTGCAATTTGTTTGCGTCTTGTTTAACTTCATGAGCTTTGACATATAAATTTGTGCCATAGGGAGTCGCCATTTCTCTGCTAATTAGCTAAGAGTCTAAAATGCTTCCTAGCTTATACCATCATTAACCTCTTCTATCGGAGTATTAACCTGCTTTGAAATGAAGGAATAATGAGAGAACAGTTTAAAGACAGATACAAATTAAACCTACATTATAATTTAAAAAAAATAACTGTACTGTTAGCAACCAAGCTCACAGCTATGATAATTAGCTAGTTTGCTACACTTAAAGATGCTAAGCTTGCATCATTAGTTTTTATTTCACCTCTTCTGTTAGAGTATAACATTGCTATAAAAATAGAGGTATAATGAGACAAATTCAAATGCTACATTTTTGAATTTTGATTTAATCACCAAGAGTTTTCTTATTCCATCTTTCTCTTATTACCAACAAATCACACGAAAAGAACAATAGTTTCAAAAAAATCTGCAATTTGATATATAGTAGACTTTCAATGCTGCTGACTAAGTAACTAGAAATTCACTTTTGAGACTTAAAACAGATCTTAAAGATCTTTTTAAAAAAAAGAAAGTTAATTTCTGTTCTACTGTACAGAAACTGTAGGGGAAATATGACTGCTAAGACAAAATCCCTGTCCAAGGCATAATCAAAAAAAGACAAAAAACAATTAACGCCTTAACATTCAACCCAAAAGCTTGTAAGTATTTTGCTTGTTGAATTTAGAGTGAAAATAGCTTGCAGTAAATAATAATTTCACAATTGATAAGGTTAAAAAAAGGACACTGTTATTACAAACTAGGAAACTACTCCTGCTACTATTGTTTCTGTGTTGTTGTTGTTTTTTTGTTGTTGTTTTTTTTAAATCTTAAAATGGTTTACAGCATTTCAATCATGAGGTTTGGGCTTTCAAGCAATCATTCACAACGGCATTCAAAATACAGTAGCAGAATTTTCACTTGGCCCTTTTGTAGGTTGATGAATGTCAAAGGGTTAAAAGGTCAAACTAAAATAAGGTAAAGAGCAGTATGTTTCCTCTGATTTGTGCATACAGGGTCAACATGTAAACTCAGACTGGGGGTAATAAGGAGTGTTTACTGACAGCATGAAGCTCAACACAGCAGACAGTTCTGCAGAAGTACAGACTGAAACAGGATTAGCGATTGTCATACAGTAGCAGAAGCAGAAACTGTTCTGGTCTACAACTTAAAAAGAAGAAGAATGAGGCCCTCGGCGCTCATCTCGTCTTCTCCTCATCCGTCCAATGTTTGAGTTTGTTTACTTGGCGTGGTGTAAACAGTCAACCTAAATTCAACAGGAAACAGCAGCACATCCACAGCGTCTTATAAAAACAGAAGCTGAGCTCCGAGACCCAGACATGTAGTAAACACGCCCAGAGGTGGGCGCAGACACGATCTGCACGGAGCCACTTCGCTTGGCCGATGGCAGCCTGCAGAGGAGTGCAGATAATAGCTCTGCATTAGGGAAGCTGGCCGAATTATTCCTAAGACACAGGAGGGTAATCCTCCCTCCTTGAACCTGATTAACTCGGGCTAACACAGCAGACACTTGGTGAGACACAGGGACGTGACGACTAAAAGAGAAAGATGGAGGTTATATGAAGTAAAATTTGACCTCACATCTTCAGAGGGGCAATGGGATTCAGTAGCACTGGAAATGAAAGCGACTGTGAGGTCACAGGCTAGATAAACAAACTCATTGCTTGACAGAAAGAACTATGCAAAATATTAGAATCTTAAATGTCTTATTTTCAAGGTTTTAATATTACAACTGGAATCAGGCTAATTTAGGAAGTTTTTGATGCATACATTTCATACAAAGAGAAAATTGAGAGGAGTTGTAGGAAGACGAAACTCAAGTAGTTCACCCCCCTCTGTTAACTGATGGTGTGGTTCGGGGGGGAGGGAAGGAGGCCTGACGTCAAACAGTCTGAAGGGCATCAACGTGAGAGCGACAGGTGGTCAGAGATTCACTCAGTGGTCATCACTCACTAAAGAGGAGTTAATAGATAGAGGAAGGAGGACAAAATTACATGATCTAGAAGTGCAACAAAGGATCGTGTATTTGGAGAAATTGATGTTTATTTAATTAAAAGTCCAATAGTGGGCTCTTGAGATATGGATAAATACATTTTACAGGTTTCGTTTTCACTCAATTAGTGTAATTAGTGAAACAGATGGTTCCGCAATGCAACAGTCTGAGTCGCATTTGTGCGATTTGAAAATAGACACTATGTCACTCCTCCCGATCTTTGTGTCTTGTTTGGAGGAAGAGCACAAGTTCGAAAGGAGAAGTGAGAAAAACATGCAGCATGACAATAGAGTTCCTGTCAGACCAAATAATCAGCCTTTAATCCTCTCAGTGTGACTGTCAAAATCAGTTTTTATTTGCTGCTCCACCACTGTTGAGCCGTTCTGTCATCTCTCCGTAACACTCTGTCTCCCTTTTCTTCTTTCCACCTCACCAACTAAGAGTTATCGGCCTGCTGTCAGTAACGCTCAGCCATACAGTGGAAGGTCGAATACTGGTCGAAAACCGCCTGCCAAGACTTCAGTCTAACAGCCCAAACCCCCGCTAGGAAACAGCCAAGAAGACACAAAGAGCGATTTGTGCAAGAAGTGGCAAGGGCTGACTCAACAGAAATGGCAGAATTGGTGCAAAGGAACAAGGAAGCAGCCTCAGATGTACATTGAGGGCAAATTACCAACAGTTTGACAGCTCCTAAACAACAAAACAACATACATTTATTCTAATAAGCAGCAAAAGTTGTAAATATCCACCTTTGCAGGAGGGTGTAATAAAGTTTGTTTCTGCTCTGCTGAGCCACTCTGGCTTTCCTCTATTACATAAGAGCTTGTTTCCCATATTGTCAAACAAGGACTGGATTCAGCAAAAGTAAAACAAAAAAATTAAAAAAAAAAGAGGAAACAAAGTCTAACATGAGATTGATTTGTAGCTTCTGGCGACAAAGCTCAGGCTGAATTATTACTGTAAATACCACACTGTATTTACAGCATATGATTTTAAGTAGACAGACAAGTGCAAAGAAAAAAAAGAGGAGGAAGTAGTTAGCTGGCTGCCGCTGCGGTTTTCTACTCAACTTTTTTGTCTCTACTGAAGCCTGCAACACTACTGTCTCTGTCTCCATAAGCCTAACCAAACGAAGCATCACTATAAAACACTAGTTTACTCACCAAATGGCTTGTTTTTTTTGTTTTTTTTTGGTCTGTGTGTCTTTTTATAACAAAACTGCATAAATATACAGCTAGACTTGAAGATGTGCAGTGTGGCTTGTCATTACCGCGAGGTGAAAGTCAAAAGTCTGCACAGAATTATACCACAGAAGCAAATGGCAAAGAAGATCACTCCAGGATTTTATGGCTAAGAATCAACATGTCGTGCTTGATAAGGCTTTAACCGGCTTAGCTCAGTCTCTGCGATGGTACTTCTCAATCAAAAGGGATGTTCTCCCCAGTGAAAGGTGACACCAGGTGATAAAGCATCTCTTCTGAAGTTTAGAAAGCAGCAGAGTGACCCCCGTCAAATCTGTGTTAGTTTCACTTAGGCATGTTAAATTAGAGGGGAAGCTGCTTTTTGGTGCCTGGGTCCATTATTCACTCAAGCGCAACACATAAAAAAACAACACTATCCACTCACCCTTTTTGGGATCCCTCTATTCTTGACCAGACAGGACTTCTCCAGATTCTGGTATCCGCCAATCACCTCAATTTCCTCCACTGTTGGGTACTTCTTCTTCACCGGTTCGACCACAGTGGGGGTCGTCTGCTGCCCTGGGGTCTTTACAGAGGTTGATCCTGCTGCAATGGGTCGCCCCACTGAAACTGTTGTTCCTCCTCCGACAGGCTTTTTCGGTGTGATCGTGATGGTGGCGCCTCTCTTCACTTGGCCTCCAGATGCACTCCTGATGGAGAAGAGCGTGGGTGATGGGTTGGGTGACGGAGAGACACTGGGGGTGGGGGAAGGAGATGGAGAGCTTGGGGAGGAGGCCGGGGTTGGCGTACAATCTACAGGTTTCAGAGTATTGTCTGGAGATTGGCTCCTGAGCAGTGACGGGGCGATGGTGATAGTTTGCTTGATCTGAGATGATGGCGAAGAAGCGCGTTGAAGAGACACTTTGGGGTTCGGACCTGTTGTTTCTTCATCTTTCTTCTGGGTCTTGACATCGTCTTTTACATGCTGCTTGAACACTTGTTTGGGGCTCTGCTGCCCCTTCGTGTCTCTGTCCTTCAGAGGAGTGTTTGGTGAAGCCTTCAACGCTTCCTGCTCTTTCAACTGAAACTGCTCTATCTGCCGCTGTATCGACTGAACCCCACAAATGTCGTCACCTTTGCCGTCCCTCTGTTGTGAGGTTGATATAAGCGGTTTTACTTTAACAAGGTGCACCGATGACGCGATGTCCACCGTCCTCTCCCTCACACACAGGCCCGACCTCGAACCCACAGTTTCCAAATTGTAGATCCGACTCATGGCTGCGAGAGAGTTGGGATGAGGCGGCGAAGGGGAGAGAGATTTATCCAGAGGCGACGTATACTCCTCTACCTCCTCCTCGGAGAGCTCCTCTTCTTTTTCTTCACCCCGATTTCCTTCTCTGCTCTCGTGTCGGCCCCTGTGGCACCTCAGCTGCTCTTCTACATGTTTCAGGGAGTCGTCTTCATCGTCAGATATCTGGAAGCTATCAGAAGTAGCTTCAGAGGTAGCAGTGGCGTAGCTGCCTGTCACTTCCTCAGCTCTGACAGCTTGTGAGTGCGGAACAGAAGCAGGAAGTTGAGGGCAGGTTTTCAACACGCCGACTTCCCGTGAGACGTCAGCCACCACTGCTGCGTCTTCCTGTCCTCTGTCTGCTTCGACCTGGCTCCTCTCCACATGAGCAGCAGCTTCCCACTCTTTCTCTGTTTCACGTCCCTTCTTTTCGTACCTGTCCTCAGTTGCCTGAACATCACTGATCTCTGCAGCTTCACCGCCGTCCTGAGCTTCTCTCTGTTGCAGCCTCTCTAGCTCTCTCTGCCGGATTTTCTCTCGCAACGATTCGATGCGACTCAGTGGTTTCCCGATCCTCCAGCTATCCCTCCTCTCAACTCCTCGACCTCCTTCCCAGTCTTGTCCCTCACCACTTTGACCCTCACTCTTTTTTCTATCCACCATTTCTTCTGCAACATAAAACACAGTCCTGGGGATCTGAATCTCAATGGGGCCCGGAGGCATCCCGATGGGCGCAATCCTTTTTGGGGATCTGGGGGTTATGTCATGACTGACACCCTCTGATCCACCATCTGCTCTTGGTTGCACCTCCTGTTTGCTCTCTTTAGTCATTTCTTGAGCAGCCTTGTAAGCCCTTTCTCCTCTCTCGTTGCTGTATACAGTCGTGTCTCCTATTTTTTCTATTTTGCTGATAAGATCCTCCGTGTGTTGGGACAAAACAGAATGCGTCAGGTAAGGTCCTCGTGGTCCTGTACCGCTCCACTCTTTATGTGTGGCTGCACAGAGTAGACTCTGACTACACTCTGTGAAAGCTGAATCATATCTGTGGTGACTTGGACTGAGCGGCTCTGCTGATGCAGCGACACTGTGACTCGTTTCAGGTGGGATTTCCAATCCATCCTCTCTGGGAAAATCGGTTTTGCCGCAATCTTGCGCGTCAATTTGTTCTCCTGCTTCTGAATCTTTCTCTACACTTGCTTCCTTTTCCAAACTTTTCTCACCCATCAGTCGCTTTACGTCTCTTTCAGCTCTTGCTTTTCCATCCTGCCTAATCGGGACTCTTCTAGCAAATGATATTCCCTCCGTGTTTTTAACTGAGGCCACTGTGAACCCCTTGTCTCCGTCTGCATCGACTACCTTGTCAGCAGCCCTCTTGTCAACAGGTTCAATGTTCCTAACTTCGCTCTCAGTTTTAACACGTCCGTCTCTATGCTTTCCAAAGTGGCCTTTATCTAAAAGTTGTGCACACCCCAGTTTGATCTTGTTTTCCTTCCCTAAACCTGTCACGTCTTCCCACGGTGCCCCAATCCTGTCTGAATGTATCCTCTCACGCATTTTCCTTTCATAACATCCTTCGGCACCTAATCCATTCTCTTTAGCACAGATCACTCGATCAGAGAAGCTGAATGAACGTTTCGGGACGCCTTTAAACAGCAAATCCTTTACATCTGCCTTCCTCTCCTCTGACTGTTGGTCATCCTGATCTTCTGAGTATTTTCTCCTCCCCAGCTGGAGGAAATTATCGGAGCTTTTGGATCGAGACGGAGGCTTGGGGTGCTCTCCAAATTTGCTCAGCAGCTGGCTGACCCTCCCTCCTCTCTCCACAAACACATTATCATCCAAGCTGTCCTTCCTGTTGTCTTTATTGATAACTGTTGCCTGACCCCACGGTTTCTCTTTTTCCTTTACTGTCTCTTTCTCCCTCAGCCAGGACACATCTGTCCTCAGCTCCCTACCCAAACTGTCCCTCCTGACATCTATGTTGCCTTTTCCCTCTCCATCCTCTCTCCCCTTCCTTGCTGTAGTCTTCTCCTCAGGGCTTGCTGAGGGCTTTATGATAAGAACTTCGGAGGCTCTGATCTCAGTGACGCTTCCTCCTCCAGCCAGTATCTCCCTCAGATCCATCTTCATCCCTCTCTTCCCCTGGTTTTCCTCTTCGGGCCTCTCCCTCTCCACCTGCCTCCATCTTCCTCTTCTCTCATCGCTGCTTTTCCTGTCCTGCTCGATGATGATGATGTTGTCAGCTCGGATGGTTCGGAGACAGGGAACATTGGGTGGAAACGGACCAGATGGTGGATGAGCATCTTTTTCTTCAGTGTCTAATCTCACTTTGAGGACTTCCTGCTCCCTGGCTGCATCCTTAGCCAACTCCTTCCATTGGATTTTGTCTTTCTCACATCCCTCCCTGCTGTTCTCTCTTCCTTCACTCCTGTCCCTGCTCCTCTCTTTTTCCCGTCCTTCACTCAGATCCCTAAATCTCTCTATTTTCACCTCTATATCTCGCCCTCTCCCTGACTCCCCATCTTGACTCCCTACTTCTCCATCCCTGTCCTTCCTCCATGCACTCTGTGTGCGGATGAATGGATTTTCATGGACTGGGACGATGGTTTCCACAGACACCTGACTCACTAGTTTGGGCTCTGCATCCAGCCACAGTCCCGGGTCTGGACTGAGCGACGGTTCGCTTCCCAGATTAACGGTTATGGAGCTATCGGTGTCGCTCAGACCATCAGAAAGAGATCTGGTGTCCACTTGAAGCACACAGGCGTCCCTCTCCTTCTCCCTGTCGCCCAAACTCTCCTGCTTCATCTTCCTCCGCTGGATGATCCCTCGCTTCCAGGCCGGCATGCTGGCAAACTTCTCCTCCTCCTCCTTTTCCCTTCTCTCTCGCTCCTCCTCCTCTCTCCTCTTTTTCTCCAGAAGGAGTTGCTTCCATTCTGGCAGAGAGGAGACAGACATAACAGAAGAGAGGCACGTTTTTGGACAAAATGGTCGGTGTTCCTCTTCAGAGCCTCTGGGAATCGTCTGCAAAAACAGAAGAGGATAAAAATAAAATCAGATTTGTCTTAAAATCATGTTTAATTCTTATCCAAACTTGATTTTAAGACATAATACATTTAAACAAGCTCATATGTTTGCATTGTTTAATGACATATAGTAAATGAAGACACATATTTGTCAGTACTGTCCTTCAGACTAGTTTAGCTGTTGTCTGTTCAACAAAAAAAATATCTCAAAAGTCTTCAAATCAACTTGCAACATATCAGGCACTTTCTGCTTCAGTTTAATATTAATGATGAAAATATTAAGCAACACTCACCAAAAGTTCAGTTCATGCAGAAATAGCACCGTGTCCACCTTGACTTTACATTATTATTATGCACGAGTGGTCGTACTTAATGCAGTCCACGACGCAAAAAAACAACAACAACAAAAAAACAAATCTACTTCGCCGTTAACTAACAGACGAATTTAAAACGCAGGTTTAAAAAAAAAAAAAAAAAAAAAAAGGAACACAGACAAATCAGGCCAAAAGCTGCCGGTGCATGAGAGCAGGAAAACTCCTCCGTCGTCGGGATGGTAGTAAATATTTCCAGCTTCAGAGCCGCAGCGCTGTAATCCGATAATTACATTCAATTCCGTCAGGAGAGTTTAGTGGCACACACCATATTGTGGGACCTAAGAAAAGGCGTTTAAAGCACAGAGCCGTCTGTCCGGCCAGCAACCCCCCTCCTGCCATCCTCCGTCCAGCAGGGCTAATTGGAGGAGAGTTGGAGGTGGAGGGAGGTGCGTCTGAAACTGGCTGAGGAGTTAGTCAGCAGGCCTGAGTTTATCTGAAGCACAACAAACACAGTCAGGCACGTTTTTAAACTCCTGCACTGTGTCACTCCTGATTACTGACATTTCTGACGGCAGGATTCTTCATCCAGTGTCTCCCACCAGAGGAAGGAGCAGTGGTAGAGAAAACGTTCAGATACCTTCTGTGCCACACTGTAAATACATATGAAAAATTTACTGTTATTTTACAGATGTTCCGTTTTGTTTAAGTGCAGCGAATTAAAAGAAAAAATACAGAAAAAAGTAGTTATTGTCATGCAAATTGTCCAAAATAATAACGACCAGATCAGTGATCTGTACTTTCAAACACTTTTCCAACATTTGACTAGAAAAATACACTACTTTTTACTGTATTTATGTCAGCCAAAATATTATATTACAGACATTTTGAGTAATTTGGATGAAGAAAAATATGCAAATTAAGGATTAAGAAAATGTAGTCTCAATATATCTTTATTACAGTTATTTTACAGATTTTCCCTGTTTTTGCTAAATTACAGATAATAGTACAATTACATAATAATACTGATCAGATAAAAAGAAAACTTTAACTCTTAAAAACAGTAATGCTTTCTTTCCCAACATTTGACTGCAAAACGGTACTTTTTACTGCATTTAAATTAGCAAAAAAAAAGTATTATTTTACAGATATTTAGGGTTATTTGAATGACAGAATGTATGTTAACAAGCTGAATGTAAAAAACAACAACAACAAAAAAACAAAAAACAAAAGGGGGGCAAAATTGGAAATGATGCCAGCATCTGTATTTATTTTGTTTTTATTTATTTATATATTTTTTTCAATTGGTAATTCTGTCTTTTATGTTTAACCATGCTATATAAAGGTCTTTTTTTATTTAAATTTTTTTTAAGTCATTAATTTTTAAAACTGTTTTTTACAGATTTTCCTGGTGTTGGTAAATTACAGATAACAGCCAGTAAAATCAGAGAAAAAAAAATAACATGGTAACTGTAAAAAAAAAACAACTGCCAAAACAAAAAAACAATCCCCTAAATGACACCAATAACTGTAAATAATGTCCACATCATAAATATGTATTTTCTTAATGATCATTTGTTCTTTTATGATGTCTGGCTGTAAAATTACACCATTTTTTAATGTATAAAAAGTAGCAAAAAAATGTTATTTTGATATTTGAAAGAAAAAAAGATATATATGTAGGGTTGTAGTGTGGGTGGAAAATAAGATGTACTTATTTCCACACCAAAGCAAGTGATTGCATTAATTAAAATTATTAAAACCAACCTTGAATTTTTCGTCCAGTGATATAATCTTAGAGTCAGCATAACAATTCTAATAAATTGTTTACTCTTGGTGATCAGTCAAGAGTGTTTTATAAAGTTAAGAGAATTAACTTAGAGCTTAGGTAACTAAAGATCAGATACGTAAAGTGACTGGATGTAAGCTATAGAAAACACAGGAAACAACTGTGTACGCACAAAACATTTATTACTAACTAAACAAA